ATCTATTTCCATCTAACTTACTATCTAGCTATCTATTGATCTACCTCTCTATCTACAGTGATTCTCCACTAAATACACAATCTGCTACAACACTACTAACTCTCAAAGCAACTAATGCAACAACAGCAACAAACTAACCTGCTCTGCAAAGAAAAATTCCAATGAACACCACTAAATAGGGATATCCTGTCCCTGAACACACTCGGTCCCGCAAAGTGATTCACATGATCAGCTGATTCGCATGACGTACGACGCACCCAACTGCTTCCAATGTCACTCAAGTGTTTCAAAAGAAGAAAGAATTTTTTTCATCACTACAATAATCGATTTTTGTTACATTATCAATAAACACATTCTCTGCAAGAACAATTTTTTTTCAGTTTTTCATGTAATACAACAAACTTACAGATAATGTTGTAGCAATACATAAAATGCAATTTAAACTTTTTAAACATAATATTAAAGGGTCATGGCAGTGTTTTACTTTACATTGCTGCTGATTCTTTTTGGTAAGAATTTTTGATTTTTGCTTACACATAGTCACTGGTTCTCAGTACAGTAAGGGAATTTTATTTTTCAAATTGAGATATGCGGCAATTGTTGGCCAAGAATGTCCAAGATCTCTAGATAGTACTAACCCAAAAGACATTTCTGTATCATATGCAAATATAAATTTTATTTTACACTTACATTACGTTTTGGGGGGCTTATACAAACTGAGTTTTAATTAACATGCGTTATAAGTTTCATCCATTGCATTCCTTTGTGAAACTCTGGGTTTAAATCAATGTACAGAACTCTTGACCAGTATAATAATAAAATTAGACAAGTTTTTCTTGTGCTCCTCATTTTGACGTCTTCTCAGTAGAGGTGGCATGGTAAATGTCTTTAGAAATACTGTGTGTATCTTTGTTGCTCACAAAGATGTTATTTCGTAGTTTTCTTCCTTCTGCTGAGATACAAATTAAAAATATGGTAAAGATAGCAGCCATTGATTAACTGATAAATGTGTAAACAGATTACGTAGGCATAATTTTTTTTACTTCATTGTCAGTGATATTTCTGGTTGGTGTGTCAGTTGGCTTCATCTTGTTATAACTAGTCTTATCCATGACTAGTAATGAAAGATAACATCCTCCTTCCTTTACAAGTATAATCACATCTTCCAGATATTTCTCCTCCACATTTTGTCCATTGACTCCTATTACAACATCACCCACAAGTAGTCCTCCTCTCTGCCCAGGGCCTCCAAAAGCAATCTACAGGAGAAATAGCAAAATCTACATTATATTATGTTCTGTACTGCTATCTTCTAGTTCCTTGTGCCTCAGAAAAGAGGTAATATTGACTAAGAGTAAGAGCAATAAAACATTTTTACCTGGCTGATGAAGGTCCCAGGACTCTGTGGGACACAGCCCAGGTTAAAGCCAAACCCCAAAGGGCCTTTCTGCAGAGAGCAGAGTCTGGGCTTGCACATGTCATCTATTTCCTTTTGTGGCGACTGCTCTGCTACAGAGGCTGGTACACTGCTCCCCTTTTCTTTCTCAGGTGCATCATCCTCACAGAAGAGAAGAGGTGATAGACCCAGCTGCAGAACCAAAGTCAAGAAAATAAACAACAATCCCTATCCAGATGTGAATTGTGTTTAGATATGACTTCCAATGTCAGTAATATTTTAATGCTTTGAGTTTGTTCTCTATTCAAAACATGTGACTGCAAAATCAATTTTGCCCAACTGGCACTCACAAAAAGCATCTGGACATGTAAAACTGTGTTGCTGGTCAGTGGTGCCCACCTGTGTATAAAACTCTAGCCCCTTGGGGGCGATGGTGGTGACGGAGACCAGTTGTTTACTCTGTCTTATTCTGTACACAATCTCTTCATGCCTCATAGACTCCACTGACTCTCCATTGACCTCCAGCAGCAGTTCTCCATCCCGTATACCTGCCCTTTCTGCTGGACTGCCTTTGCCCATCTCACGCAGGACATGAACTATTGTTCAAAAATGTAAAAAAAAAAAAAAAAGCGTAAAACAGAAATGTATTTAAAACCTAAATCTAAAATGACTGTATTTAGGTTTTGGACTCTTTGCCTCTTACACATGTGTCCTGATGGAGCCTTCTCCAACCGAAGGATGAAGCCGTAGCCCTCAGACCCCTTTATGAGATGGAACTTTCTGGCCCTATAAGGCAGGTTATGTGGAACAGCCATTGTGGGTAGGATAGGCATCCCCTGTCGCAGGTACATCTTCTCACTCTCGCTGTCAATCACTAGGATGGTGATGTGATTGCCACATTTTTTCATCTACGGCAAAACATTTTTATTTTTCCTAGTCAAGGCTGGATAAAAGTATAATAATTTTGGGGCTAGTTTAGGAAGAGTACTGTAATCCGAAGGAAGGAAGCTGTAAAACACTTAATTTATATTAGAAATCGTTATTTTCATGTCAAAACCTGTAACAAAATAATTATAAAAATGGTTGGCTATGTACCATCCTGCACAGTGCAGAGTGTGTGAGCTCAGACACTGCTGCTCCATCCATCCATACCAGACAATCTCCCCTACACACCCCTGCCTTTTCAGCTGCACCTCCTGTCACCAGGCTCACAGAGAAATGACCTTTCCCTCCTACAAAGCAGAAACATGAGAAGCATCTGAATAACACTGCACTGACTTGTGATTTCAGCTAAAGGTTTGTTAGATAATCTTGATGTCTTGTGATTACCAAAAGAAGTGTTACCTTCCAAAGGTGTGAAGTTTATTCCCAGACCTGAACCAGAATCACTGGTGATATGACAGAGTCTTGGTGGCTTGCAGCCCTTGCCCATGTGTGTTCTGGCCAGATCTCGAAGGTCTTGACCTTGGGACACAGCCTTCTCATACTCCTCTCCATCCAACACTAATAAACATAACTGGTGCCCACTTAGCCTTATGTTTCTGGCCACCTTATTCATAAAAAAACAAACCCAGTGGATCCAGGTTTAATACACTCAGTCACTCAGCGTGGCTTCTGTCCTTTTAATAATGTCAGAAGCTCATCCTACCTGAGTGTGAGGAACATCAGCAACATAGCAGTTGTTGACTTCCAGAAGCCTGTCTCCATCTTGAAGGCCACTGCGCTCTGCCACCCCACCTGACACCACATTTCTAATTATGTGACCCTGACACCCCCTCTCTATTTGCAGAGAAAAGCCATAGGACTCCCCTTCCTCTAGTTTAAGAACACACACACGTGGCCTTGATGTCGACACAGAGTCTGAGCAGGAAGAAAGAGAAAAGTGTTGTCATAAAGAGCAGATTTTCCTCATGTACTGTAATTATAAGCTGTGTGTGCAGGATACCTGCATCATCTGTGACAACCATCACTGGGTTATCTATTCCCTCTTTAGGATTAAATGTAAATTTCCTGAAAAGGAGAGATGAGCCACATTTAACTTAAGTTTTAATTTACAAAGTGTTAACTATTTGGTAACCTGGTAAATAAAGAAAAGTAAACATGTCCGTGCAGATTCTCAGTCATCCAGGTCATAGTAATGTTAGGTAATTTCTTAGTTAGATAGATATTGATTAGAGATCTGTTGTATTAGCAAATGTTTAGTGGAGACAGGCTGTCTATGCTCAGGCTGTTAAATGCTTAGTTCATTGTCATGAGCTTGCTGCAGGCTGCATGTGGGCCCCAAGGACAACGAGATTGAAGAGTCTGCAGGCAGGAGGTTATTGTTAGTAGCATGATATGTTTAGCCGTAATCTTAATCATAATATCTTCCGAGGCTTACTGTCCGGACATGTCCCTGAATGTCCTGTATGTCTTTAGATACACACCACATGATCAACACTCACACACACATTGATTCTCTCCATGTTTTGACTACTGCTACAGCCAGCTGTGAAGCTGGCATATCAGGTGACGTCACGGTTGACGTTCCTTTGTAGCATGGGCTAGCCCAACCAAGGGATAAAATTGGGATAGGCATTAATGGTTCAGGTGCTTTTTGCATGCTCCGTCTGCCTGTGCGCAGTATTGGAGGTGGAAGATACCTGGACGTGTAATGTTAATTTTACCTGTGATCCTTTGAATAAACAGTGGTCCGCGTCGTCTCTCTGAGTTCCTGGTTAAAAGGACTGGGTAATATCTTTCAGTAAGTTGAAAAACGTAGAAAAATCAACTGGACTAGGATTTTAGGTCAAAGACGTTTCACCTCTCATTCAAGAGGCTTCATCAGTTCTATCTGACTGGCATTGAGTCAAAGATATTTATCCCCGTTGGTGGTATTTCAGTCCTTTGATGCCCAAGTATGACCCCTAAGGAGTCGTTATCGCCCAGTGTCAGTGAGCGTTGTTACCTGTCTTTGAACCCTCACCTGTGGACCAACACCTTTTGTCTTGGTGGGCATGTTTGGGCAGAGATCTCAAAACAAAGTTGTAGATGGATGACAAGTTGTGTCGTAGTCCACCCCTATTTAGTGAGGGATGTTGTATTTGAACAAAAATAGCTTCCTTAACTCCTCTCTCAAACCAGCGATGTTCTCTGGAGAGGATCTGGACTTCACTGTCCTCAAAAGAATGTCCTTTGTCCTTCAGGTGGAGGTGGACTGCTGATTGTGGTTCACTGGAGCTGGCCCTCCTGTAACCCTAAAAACCTAGTCCAGTTGATTTTTCTAAGTTTTTTCAGCCCAAAGAAAAGTAAAGTACACTTTTCTTTTGTTTATGACCTTCTAAACTTAACCCTAAACAGATAAATTACTATGCAGTGAAAATGTCATACTTGATTTTTGTCATTTTGATTACATTTCTTGATCACTTGTATCAATATTAATTACATTACAATGTTTAGTGCATCGTGATTGCACAACTTCCCCTGTTGTTATCTTGAGCAGTGGTGGAAAAGTACTCAGATCCTTAATTAAGTAAAAGTAGCAATACAATTTGTTAAAATACTCTGTAACAAGTAAAAGTCCTGCAAGCAAAATGTTACTTAAGTAAAAGTACAAAAGTATTAGTATCAAAACATACTGTACTTAAAGTACCGGTACTCAAAGTAAAGGTACTCATTATGCAAAATGGCACATTTCACATTCCTGTATATCATATTATTGTAATATAATTACTGATCCATTATTGTGTACATCACATTTGGTAAAGGGGGAGCTAGTTTTATCTAGCATAGATGCATTTCATTTGAATTGCTGCTTGGTAGCTTGTGAATTTTCCACAATAGATCAATGAGGTCTTATAATTATACTGTAATTTTGTATTAATTTGTTTCTGAAAAGTAACTAGTAACAAAAGTTATAAAATAAGGGTAGTGGAGTAAAAAATACGATATATGCCTCTAAAATATAGTAAAGTCAAAGGATGAAATGACATAAAATGAAAATACTTATGTAGAGACACCTCAAAACTGTACTCAAGTACAGTGCTTGAGTAAATGTACCTAGTTACTTTCCACCACTGATCTTGAGAATAATATAGCATTTTTCTGCGCAAACTAGACCTTATCTTAGGTGAACATTCCAAAAGTCAAAATTCAACATTAATAAGATTTGGGTTTGGGGAGAAATGAACACTGTCATTTAGTTTTTTATGCTAAATGTCTGACTCTGTCCTCTGCTTCGCCTCATCTTATCATTATCTTACTGGCAGTAGCACTGTACTGTTCATAATTAACTTTTAAGTTAGAAGGAAATAATGCGGGTATATAAAGTTTGATGAACATTGGAGCAAACTAACAGATAAAAAGCAGACTTACTGTGTGAACCTTCTGATTTTCACCAAACCTTGAAAAACAAAAATCATATGAAGTGAATAACTTCAGTAGCATAATACTTATATATTCATATTTATCAGCATTCCATATATATTTACAATATTCACCATAATAACACTTTCCAACTTTGAATCTCAATTGATACCACACACCCCAGATCAAATTTTGCAGAATAAAAATACAAAACTTACATGAACAATAACTACCAACCACAACTTACAGCTCTGTGAATATCTGCGCGGTTCAGTAGGATTTGTGTTTGGACAGTGGATGACACACCTGCTTACTTAACTATCCGGCAAGGCACCATAAAGTTGGCTTTAATTTTATGTTATTATCTTTAGTCTTTGGCCTCTCCAACATTAAAAATAAATGCCTCATGAATATGTGACAGACAAAGAATCTAAACTTGGCAGGACCTGGCACTCAAACTATCAGTCATTCAAACAGCAAGACTGAATAGGATTATTTTATCAGGACAACTGAGATATCTGTGCTGGTACATTGGCATTTAAGCCACCACAGTGGACCTGTTTGGGGACCACAAAGTGCAAGGTACAGGGCGCGAAAGAATCTCTTCAGGACTGCGCATGTGCAAGAAATAAAACCAGTAGTGACAGCTCTTAAAGGGCTACACCTATACTCAAAGAAGCTTGGGTTACTGTACATAACCATTGTTTTAGTACATCTGTGCTATCATTGTCATCATAGTTGCTGTTTGAGCAAAACCTACTGTCACTTCATTGGTTGAAAAAACTCCCCCCTTACATTAATTGAACAATTCTTCCATTCATTTGCATTCATTCTTATCCATCTGTTGTCCTGTGTTACCAAAGGTGTGTTGCAAGGATCCATTTGGCTGTTTGTCATTCGCATACTAAATAAGGTTGTCTCATCTGTGTTTGAATGTTAAATTCACCTTTATGCACATGATTCTGTCTCCTAATAACCCCAGGAAAATTACAACTCAGTTGCAATGGAAGATAGTACACAAAGGTCAAGGTCTCCCTTAGGAGAAATTATTTTCAGAAAAAAGAAATTATTGCACCATCACACAAGAAAAACACTGGTAAACTCTGTTAGACAACAATAAACACAGGATATAAATTCATAATTAAACAATAAATAATCTCATCTATAAAATCCAATAAAAGTCCAATAAGGTTCCTATTGCATTAGGTGAAGCTAGAGAGCCTCTCAAATCTTTTTGACACTGAATAAAAACACTTAATTGGTATTCATGCTATTCCTCAGATACAAAGATATATATTACAAAAATATGCATATTACTACTCTGTTTAAAATTCAGAGGATCAAATAATGCAAATATCTTGACATCTGGCTCCATGAGAATTTACATTTGAATATATTTACAAAAACCTTGGTAAACTGCTTTTCTAAACTGTGACAGAAGCTTGGTGTGTTGGCTGAGAGCTGTAGACTAAGTTACTGGATTTGTTTGCTTTTCAGTTCTGGGCTATAAGAATGTCCTAGACTTCATTTACTCTCTTCATTTACTTTACACTGCCTTCAGGGTCATCACAGGTGATAGAACACACACCACTGTGTTTTATATGATAAACTAGGCTAACCTTTTGTGTCTGAGAGCAATCATAACTATACACATGGAATCTTATATTTAATTCTTGCTGTTCTGGTACTTTATTATATTTACTGACCGTTTTTGTTATGTTGTTTCAAACATCCTGAAATTTGTTTACTGTGCTACTCTGTAAAAGACTATGCTTGTTTAGCCAACCTACCATTTATAAAGATATAAATAAAGATATAAGATATAAATGTCTTAAGCTTACACACAAAATCATCATTATCATAACGCACCTGTCTTGTTTATATTTCTCTAACTAACTGTCAAATAACTCACAGAACCTGTGAGTGCTGAACACACACTAATTGTCTGCTCTCAGATGAAATCCATCTCTCACATCACATTTACATAGCTAAGCAGTCTCCTCTTCTGAATTGCTAATATAACAGGCACTTCAGTGCAGCTAATGGGTCACTGTTTGCTTTTCCCTTTCACAAACCTTGTTTTCCGTGGTTGTTTAGATTCAGACCGAAACAAACCGCTGACATTCGGCTCAGTCTGCTGATGATCAAAAACTTTAAAATGTCACTTGGCGGCACCATCCAAAGAATTAGTTGATGTTCAGTTATAGAATGAAGTGTTCTGCCTAAATTCTCTTTATATGTAAAGATGTTAATCTTGCTAACACTATGTGAACACTATGTGATCTAATTTTGATCCTAAATGCTGCAACACAAAATATAAACATGATACTGGCAAATTCAATACACAAAGTTCAAAATGTTTATAATATATATAGAAATATAATCCAATGATATAAAGGACAACAAAAATAAGACTGCACATATAAGATATCTGGAAAACAAATATTAGGAAACTCTAAAATGTTTGAAGTACCTGTACTTGAGCTCATGGTGTGTGTTGTTCCCATCAGGCCAGCAGTGTAAGAGAGAGAGTGTATTGGATGTCCCAAGTATTTATTCTAAGCACAGAGAGACTCCCACTTATGAGGGATGCCAGGCTTACTGTTTAATCTGTGTGTGAAAATTTGAACACACATACCTCTGTGTAATGTCTGTGCTGCATGGTGCCATGTTCTAAACACATAACAAGATCATTACTTACTGTTCTGTCTCAGCAAATGACTTTGTTCTTGTTATTCTGGAAGAGTTATAACTACCGTATCTCTGTATGTGTGCAGAATGTATCTGTGCTTGTTCTCCTGAGAATCACATCCAGCACTGGCTATTAGTGTCAAGGCCAAAGTTTGGTGATAAGTTGCACAAACAGACCAGTATTCCAATTCCAAAATATCAGAGTACTGTTTTACAATTGAGCTACATTTGTATAAGAAGGAAAGATGTTTATACACCAGCATGACTATGAACTTATTCACTGGAAATACAGAGAAAAGGAGAGCAAAACAAGGTTGACAAGAAATAAAACCATTAGTAACAGTCATATAAGGGTTCTGTGCCTCTTTAAAAGACAGATTTTTTTAAGTCAGCTTTTTTAATCTGCCTTCACTTTTTTTGGATGAACTGTTACAGGAAATCTGGGGTCAAAGTGATGTCTTTCTGAATCTTAGTGTTCATAAGAGCTCCAGATTCCAGAAATTCAAAAGTTAAGACATTGTGTGCATAGGTTTGAACTCACTTCCTGTTTTGGTACTTTTATTTTGGTTAGATTTCCTGTCTTGTGTCACCTCACCTGCCCCACCTTTACCTGGGTTCAATCACTATTCAGTGTTTCCACCTTCTACTCATTATCCCCTGGTCTTCAGCCCATATAATCTCCTCCTTTACCTCAGTCACTTGCTGGTTTATCTTTTCACTGCACCCTGCCTGCTTGTCTTTTGTTTTGTTTTGTTTCCTACCTCACAACCCTTGGCCTGTTTTTATTTGGACTCTGGACTTGCTGCTATGTTGAATTCTCAGTTTTATTCCTTCAGGTTTGTTTGAGCTGTATGTTCTTGAGTTTGTTAAATCCTGCTCCCAGACTGAACTGCTTGAGTTCTAGTCGGGCTGATGTTGTTGTTATGCTCATCAGGTTCAGCGCCTCTTATTTTTTCCTCTGATTTCACTTTGTATGTTTTTTTTTTAAATTAAATTTCTCCTATATACTAGTTCCTCTGCTGGGGTCTGCATATTTGGGTCCTATTCCTTAGCTCTGATAATGTGTGGTAGCTATAGAACAAGAATAGGTCGCACAGCAAAATGTGTCACTTACCTGGTTCTTAAGACTATGAAAATTGTTGTGGCAAACTATATATCTGATGGCTGAGAAAGATTTTAAAAACTCATGTCTGCTGTTCCTTGTCATTAAATGATGTACTTAGAAGCCTTTTAACAATATAATGTTTTTTCAGGAATTAAACATGCATTTTGTGCAGAGATCATTCAGTAAAGTACTTTATTCAAACAACATGCACCTTGAAAGAAGGCTTTATAATCATTCCCCTTGTACTGGCAGTGAAGAGATCACTTTTGTGACACAATTCTGACACTCAGAGGTTGTAGACAAAATTCATATAATTTCACCAGTGCAGCAAAGGCTATGGACAGTGGTTTCCCCTCAATAGATTGCCTTGGAATTTCATTAAGAATGGGGTACATTTCTGCTTGTTATGGAGAATGATTACAGTAACTCTTTCAGTATACTAATAACTTTGTCACCAGTAGTTTATGTTGGCTGTAACTGAACTAAACTACGACTCTGTCTTTATTACAAGTGTTTCAATATGAAAATGGGTACAACACGCTTCCACAAAAACTAGGAGAAGTTAGTGTTTACAGTTTTTCTTGATTGCTTTGAAGCAGCCGTCAATTGAAACTCCACATTTTCAAAACAGTTAACACACCTGCCTAAACAGTATCACTGATGGCAAAATGACACATTTTGTTTGCAAAAGGCTCTAACCATGCCAAAACATTTAAAATATGCAACTATGCAAATTTTGCCTTCAAACAACACAACTTGCAAACAAGTATATGAGCTCTTTCAGTCAGTCATTAAACAATGGGCAACAAAATACAAAATACACAACTCGGTGTGAATCAGTGCACCATTGCTTGTCATTGTAGCCTATAGCCAGTGCCATTTGTCTTTCTATATAGGCTGTGTCAAATTAGCCTTTTTGAAAACTGAAATACCGCATATAATAACTAAATATTACAGAAAAAAAAAGAAAATCAAAATACAGTAAAATCTCTTGTAAGACATAGCCACTACTCAAACTCGGCCTCTTCTGTCTTGAGGATGGGGCCACATGGCCTCATCCACATCACATTCAATATCATCTCTTGCAAGGCACCTAGGGAAAAATCTTCTTGCATGCCTTATCCAACTTTGACATTCCTCTGCACCTATTTGTTGGGCAGCCACAGTCATTGCATTCAGCAAGGGCATTTGCTCATAGGGATGATGATCATAAACCTTCCACCTCCAAGCACTGAAGAACTCCTCTATGGGATTCAAAAATGGGGAATATGCTGGGAGGAACAGCATCCTCATACGAGGGTGTACTCCAAACCACTCATTGACAACGCGAGAGTGGTGGAACGCCACATTGTCCCAGATAATGATGTGAATTTCACACTGATCTTGGTAGTTTCTAATAGTTAGGAATACATGGTTTCTCTTTGGTTACCATAGCTAAAACAATGGATTTTGGTCTGCTTGAATGACATCCGTGTTAACTGTTTTGCAAAAGGGTGGGAAAATGTGTGAATCCAATCAGAACGTGTTTACACATTTGCAATATGTGTCTTCTGCTCTGCTGGGTTAGTGATGATGAAAACTGAGTGGGTCCTAGTTTCTTTAAACAGGTCAAAGCAATCAAGAAAAACTGTAAATGAAACTCTATCCACTAGATGGCAGCAAGATCCAAATAAGCGTCTGCACTGAAAGCCGTTTAACCATTTTTTTATTTAAATGATATAGTGTAATTTCAGTTAATGCTTTTTGATATTCTAGCATCGGAAAAACAAAATATTAAGTCAATCAGCTTTGTTTTTAAGAAAACTAGTTTAACATCACTAATGTAGTCTGAGGGCAGCAGACTCAAACATCTAACCAGAATGCAAATGGTGAAAACGTCTGCTGTGATGTCAGATTCCTCTTCAACTCCTCTACCTTCTGTAGCTTCTGCTCTGCATTCACGTTTTTCAGCTTGTCCTGATGTTTTGTCTCGTAGTGCCATCTTAGGTTATATTCCTTAATTACAGCCACATTAGCTCCACAAATAAGACACACAGGTTTACCGGCAATGTCAGTAAACATATACTCAGGCTCCCTCCGGTTTAGAAAGGCTCTGTTTTCAGAATCAACTTTTCTCTTGGCCATTGTTTGGGGCTAGCTTTGACTTGGAATTAGGGTTGTATACATCAACAGACGCTTGATTGATCTGATGTAATTGATGTGGAAATGATCACAGGTAGCCTATCGTTCGGTAAGGCAGCTGTTGAGCTGCAGTATGGGATTTGTAGTTTGTGTGGTACCGGCGCTTCATGTCGCCGGGCCATAAAAAAAAGATATATAAAATGATCTCGCGGGCCGGATGTGGCCCGCGGGCCTTGAGTTTGACACATGTGGTTTAGAGGGACCACAGAAAGTCAAAATGTTTAATTTAAAATGTGAATAGTGAATTGCTCATATTTGATCTTTTATATGTAACCAGTGACAAACTTGGTTCTCCCGTTTTAAAGGAGCAAAGGCTTACACACAGTCAATAAGTAACTTCACGTCAACTGGTGTTCAAAGGTCAAGCTACAATATACTGCATGTCACTGAAAGGTATTTGTTCAAATGAAATGAAAATATAATTTGTCAGTGCATGATTTTATATTTTGCATTTCATTTAGCATCAGTGTGTTGAATTAACACAGACTGACAACATATGGAGAAGTTTGGTTTACATAAGTTGTGGGATTGTCAAACTCTGTGACAAAGGATTGAGCTGAGTGAATGTGAGCCTGTTAAATGGCAGAGAAATATCTGAAAGAATATGTTTATTCATTGTGTTTGCATGTTTTAACCTCTGCCTTCTTAAAGCTAAGCAGAGTGAACTACAGAAAGAAAGAGAGAAGAGAGGAAATGACAGAAAAAGACTGACTGAGAGATCCAGTCAGGCTTCTTTGGGACTTTCTATTCTGGTTCTGGATTCAAGTGCCTCTCAGTCATTCCTGATACCACCCTGTCACAGGAAGAGCTCCCATCTGCGCCTAAATCCTTGCCAAAGCACTGGAATAGCAGTCAGAAATCTGCAAAGGAAACCGTTACCTTTTGTAAACTGCATCCCATTTGCTACAACTCAAGTTCAAGTATGACTGTTCCTCTGTGGACCTTATTCGACTCTTCATGGGCTGCAGGGGATGAGATATGGGAATGTAATGTTGGAGAGTTTATATGGAAAGACGAAAGTAAAAGCTGCAGAATTACCAGTGATATCCTTCATTAGACATGGAGCCTGAGGCTACTATCAGGCTCAGTTGGCCTGTGTGATATCCTTGCACACAGTCCGAAGGCCACTCTTTGACCACGACACACATGGCTTCTCTGTGAGGGTTTGTGTCCTGTGTTTCCGAAATCGGTGAATCCATGGCAACAGACTAAGTGAATAGTCTATTCAGGGCAGCCTCCACTGCACCCTCTAGTCAAAGTGTTTATTTGTCATATGCACAGTTAGGAAACGTGTTTCCCTGTACAATGAAATTTTTACTTTGCCATCCACATGAATGCCACAAAATACAAATGAAATATGAAGTAGATAAATAACACTAAATCTAAGGCACTTTAAGCAGCAAATGCAGCAATATAATAAAAATATATAAGAATATAATAAGAGAATGTATGCTGCATGGGAGCAGCATGTGCAGCAGTCAACAGTCAATGTGCAATTATGCATGTGCAAACTGAGAATGTAAACAGTACATGACGTATTTCCTGGTAATAAACTCCTCAGCTGTTTAGGAGTCTGATGGCAGAGGGAAAGAAAGAGTTTTTCAGTCTGGAAGTTCTGCATTTCACACTTCTGAACCTCTGGCCAGAGGTTAGGGAGATGAACAGTCCGTGATGGGGGTGGGTGGGATCTTTGAGGATGGAGGCAGCTTTCCTACGCACCCTGCGGTGGTAAATGCTCT